CCCCGAGAGCTGAACCGGACAGCCAGAGATGGGTAAGAGGGCACTATCTTCCATGTCGCCTAAGACAGGAGGGCTGCCAGTGCTGCCACCTTATCTGATGACGGGCTTGACAGGAACAGATATGGCTGCCCCAACCTAAGACAGGCGCGGTTCCCCGGGTGGTTCTCTCCTAGCTTAAAACAAAAAAGGGGGACCTGTCCGGAGCCGTGAGGCCCGGCAGCTGCTTACCAAGCCCACGCATTTGCAAAAGCCCGCGAAAGAGCTTGTAAGTTTCTATTTACCCATTATAACTATGTAGCCCTTGGAAGCCTCTGAGGGTTTCCTTATATGGAAATCCTCTGGCTGGAAAGCCAGAGCCTCGGAAAGCACCGCCCCTTTACTGTTACTCTTTCTGCCTTACTTAAGCCTCTGCCTTCCTGCCAATAAATGAGACTTGATCAGACTCCTGTCTTGTCTCCATTTCTTGTGTCTCCTGCCTCTCCCAATTCCCACTCCCTCTTCCAGGGTCCACGTTGACTACCCCGCGGGTCGGGACAGTAGGGTTTCTTTCCTGTATGAATTCTCTTATGTTTAGTACGGTCTGAACACGAGTTAAAAGCTTTGCCACATTCTTCACATTTGTAGGGTTTCTGTCCAGTATGAATACTCTTATGTGCAGAAAGGTCTGAGCACACCTTAAAAGCTTTGCCACATGCTTCACATTTGTAGGGTTTCTCTCCAGTATGAATTCTTCTATGTACAGAAAGGTGTGTGCATTGTTTAAAGGCTTTGCCACATTCCTCACATTTGTAGGGTTTCTCTCCTGTATGAATTCTCTTATGTTTAGTAAGGTATGAACAACAGTTAAAAGCTTTGCCACACGCTTCACATCTGTAGGGTTTCTCTGCAGTATGCATTTTCTTATGTGTAGTAAGGCGTGACCACCACTTAAAAGCTTGGCCACATTCTTCACATTTGTAGGGGTTCTCACCAGTATGAACTGTGTTATGATAAGGAAGATTTGAGCAAGATTTAAAGACTTTGCCCCATTCTTTACATTTGTGAGGTTTCTCTCCAGTATGAATTTTCTTATGTTCAGTAATATGTGAACATTGTTTAAAGGCTTCACCACATTCTTTACAAAATTTCTCTACAGTATGTCTCAGTTTATGTCGATGTAGATTTGAGAACTTTTTGAAGACTTTGAAACATTTATTACACTGGAAGATTTTGCTATCGGCAGTTGTTGAGCATTGGTTAAGTCCATTATAACATCCTTTCTGCTTCTTACACTCACCAACACTTTCACAGTCTCTCATTAAGTTTACATTCTCTAGGCCATCGCTTCCATACCTTCTCAGTACCATTTTTTGAAATGAAACATTTAAGCCTTGCTCTGGCAAATGGTCTTGGGTGGAATGAGAAGACATAGCTGAAAGAAATTTTAAAAATAACAAATTATTGCATTTATTTGTTTTCTCAATCAGATGAATATACATTATGAATTTACTATGTAAAATTATACCAAGCACATTAGCAAGATGGTGTAATGCAATATACAGGCTCTAATTCTCTTTTAGATAAATAAATAGAACAAAATTATACCAACCAAATTGCCTTTGTGGGAATTCTAATTGCCAGGTAAGCATTTGCAGCACACCAGATGAGCACAATGCTGAGAGCCACATAGAAGAGAAAGAAAAGTTTGTTGTATTTACCCACCATGGCCTTTCCTCCTAATACAGCATGGTGCATATATTATAGAAGCAAATTTTTAATTTCCAGCTTCTCCTTCAAAAGAAAAAGAAAATAATGACACCAGCGGCCATCTTTCTGGTGTTTGGAGGCCTTTCACAAACTAAAACAGAGAGTGCTGAAAAGAATGCAGCTATCATTTGAAAGACAGACTGGGTGTGCTGAAATCAAAGCTCAACTATTGTTATACCAGCAGAGAGACCTCAGTACCACAGAGAAGAAACAGTTGTAGCAAATGATGACAAGCTCTTAAGAAAAACTGTAGCAAAATTACTTTAACTGGAAAATAAACACAAAATTTCACAGAAGAAACATCCTCAGAAGAGATTTGAGGATCCCTGAATCTCTAGCACAGTGAATTGGTGTCAGAGTCCCCCAGGACAAAGCTATTTGATAAAGTTTGTGAAAGGGGGCTTTGTTAATCCTCAAATCTCAACCATAGATTACAACATATAAAAAACATCAGGATAACATAGCGTAATCAAATAAACAACATAAAGGAATAAAGATGTATAAATTAGTTGAAAAAATTAAGAATAACCATCTGAATGATGCTTAATGAGTGAAATGGGAAGAATACTGATCAGTAGATGGAATCAGGAAAATGAAGAATATATGAACAAAAAAAAAAAGCATAAAAGGAAACATAAATTGTTTAGCTGAGCATGCAATAAGAAATGACTGAGAAATTCTCAAATGTAACAAAAAAGACAAAAAAACCCAAGAAGCTTAACATATTTCAGCTAGGAAAAACACCAAGGGACCCACAACAAGGCAGACTATAAGCAAAAGTTTTGAAAGTCACACACAAGATGAGAATCTTGAAAGCATCAACAGTGATGTTTCACCTCTGAGCATGCTCCTATTAGATTACTGTGGATTTATCATCAGAAAACTTGCATGCCAGAAAAAACTTGGCTCCTACAGTCACAGTGCCAACAGAATGAAAACTTCAAAGCAGAAATAGAATATCCAACAAAATTTCCCTTCTAAATGAAGAAAAATAAAGACTTATCAAGATAACTAGATCTGAAAAAGATTATCACCACTGGACCTGCCCCACAAGAAATGCCAAAGCGAGGTCTTGCACTGAAAATAAAAAGATGTTAGAAAACAACACAAAATCATTTGAAAATAAATAACTCTCTGGGAAAGATACATAAGTACACTTAAGTAAAATTCTGTCTTATTACAATGATGGTAGAGAAAACATTTTTAATTGTACTCTAAAATTTGAAGACAAAAACAGAAAAATAACAGTAAATCACTATTAATGGGTATACAATATAACAAGATACAACTAGAGACATCAGTAAAGTTGAGGGCAGGTGTAACAAGGAAAAATTTTTATATGCAACTAGGTTAAGCTGTTATCAGTTTAAAATATGTTGTTGTAACTATAAAAAGTATTGTGTGATCACTGTGGTAACCACAATGAAAATACCTGTAGGGATACATTAAAATAGTAAGAATGGCTCAAAGCATGTCACTGCAAAAATCAATCAGAAGCAAAAATCAATCAATCAGACAGAAAGAGAGGAAAAGAAGCAAAATGCTATAGCTACAAGAATAAAAAAATAAATAAAATGGGAATAGTAAGTCCTTCCCTTTCAGAAAATCATATAAATATTCATGGACTAAACTTCACAATCAAAAGACAGAAATTGAATAAACATAGGGATGTAGGAAATAAAAAAATCCAACCATGTATTATCTGTAAGAGACTCACCTTAGATCAAATGACAAAAACAGTCTAAAATTAGCAACACAAAAAAAGACATTTTATGCAAATACTAATCAAATGGGAGCAGGAGAGTTCACAATTAGACGCAATATATTTTGAGGCAAAACTTATCCTGTTTCATAGAATAATGTTACACACACATATATATACACACACATCTATGTATGTGTGTATGTGTAAAATCATGGTTGCCAAATATGCAAAGCAAATGTTGACAGAATTATAGCAAGAAATACACAGCAATATGATAATGGTAGGATACTTCATCACCCCACTGTTAGTAATAAATGGTAATGCCAGACACGATATTAATAAGGGAACAGAAAACTTGAAAGCACTGTAAAACAATTACACCTAATGGACACAGAGAGAACGTTCCACACAACAACACAATCTTCTCAATAGCACATAAAACATTCTCCTGGACAGAACACCCGTGAGGCCACAAAACAATTCTTTACAAATTTTCAAAAAATAAAATCCTACAGACTATTATTTATGACCAAAATGGAATAAAACTAGAAATAAATAACAGCAGAAAACCCAGAAAATCCACAAATAAACAGAAAATAAATGACACACTCTTGAGAATGCTCTTGTTCAAGGGTTGGAAGATTTACTTCTGTAAAGACGTCCTTACTGCCCAAAATGATCTACAAATTCAATGCAATCTCTTTAAAATTCTCAATGTCCTATTTTACGGAAAAGAAAAAGCAGCTCAAAAATCATGTGGATGCCAAAGTACCATGAAGAGCCCAACAAGCTCCACAAAAAGAAACAATGTTGGACGCATCACACTTTCTGATTTCAAGGAATGTTACAAAAAGTACAGTAATCCAAGCAGTTTGCTACTGGCGTAACAGCAGACAACTAGACCAAGGAAACAAAACGTAGCACAGATATAAAACTGTCAGATATATGGTCAAATGAAGAGTTATTTGCACATTCATATTTTTTGAAGCAATATTCACAAAAGCCAATATGTGAAAATAACCCAAACTTGCCTCACAAAATGAATGGATAGATATAACTTGGGATATAAATATAAGGGAGGACTACTCAGCTTTTAAAATGCAGGAAATTTTATAACATCTATGATAAAGACAAATCTTGACATTATTACAAATGAAATAAGCCAGTCTCCCCCCAAGAAAGATACTTTATGAATCAACTTATATAAAAAACATAGTTACATTTTAAGAAACAGAAGCAAAATAGAATAGTGTTTGTAAAGGACCAGAAAATGAGGAAAATAGGTAGTTGTTTTAGGTATACTGAGCTTTAGTTTTGCAAGATAAAAATGTTCTAGAGATGCATGTTGCATTACCATGACAATATACTTACAATGACTAAACTGTAATCAAAATATATAAGATCGTAAATTTCATGTGTTTTTTACAATGAATAATAATACCAAAAATAGAGTTTTAAGGCATTTCAAAATTACCTTCAAATCACACAAATGTTTCATACAAGGATAATATATATTCACCAAAAAATACATGTTGAACTTAAGACAATTTTCATGACTATTCACCTTGAGAAGATAAAATAACCATTGACCATCAACCAAGAAAAAAAGAATGTACTATTCATAAACAAAATAGGAGTAATATTTATACAGGCAAACAAACACAAAATTATATTGGCAAAAAACATAGGCCTGATTTATATTTGACTTTTGCCCCACAATGTCTTAAAGTGTACAGAGTTGAATTTTGTTATATAAAATGATAATATATAGGTAGAAACTAAAAACACAATTGACTGATGTGATATGGCACACTTTAAAAAGTAAAATTTTTTTAAATTTATGATTATTTTTTCCAGTATATTATGGGGGTACAAATGTTTAAACAGAACTATAAAATTACAAACAAAATTAAAAGAAACTTTAACCCATAAAATTTTGAATAAACATAATTATTGAAGAAGAAATCTAGCTAACTAATTTAGGATAACTGGGCATCCAAGAAGAGAACAGATTTAAATCATTAGCATAGGGTTAGGGCAATAATATTTCACAAAACACATTATAATCTTTCATAAAAAGGCTTTGATAAGAAAAATTTAAAGATTAGGCATTGAAATGATACTAGAGAAGCTTCTTTCTTATGCTATTAATATATTGCTGCTCTTCTTATACAAAAGAGAAAGGCTGTAATCCAGCTTTCAGAAACAAAACAAAGTCTTAAATTTCTAAATATGGGAAAAACATGGCATTGTAAAATATGGTGTGAAACTAATATATAAGATGAACAGTTAGGAATAAATTATATCGTCACTTAGATGAAGGTTGGTGACAGTGAACAGAAATGCTAATAACTATTTGCATGCAGTAAACTGAAACAGATCATCATTTTAATAACCGTGAAGTGCATATGAGTTATCTCATTCAGCTTTTATAAGACATAAATTCAAAAGCATGTTATTGTGGAACTTCTTAAAATTCTCCATTAATACATACACAATATGAAATGGTATAATTTGTCACATTAATAACAAAGTGGGGGATGTAAAGAGGTCTGCTTTTTACATTCAGCTGAAGTTAACTTGTTATGAGAATGAACTATATTGTTCCCACTTTAAGATATTTTTGTACTTTCCATTTCTCAAGGTGTTCAGAAAGAAAATATCTGTAGAAGTTATGCAAAAGAAAATGAGAAAGGAATCAAAGCAAGTATCTACAAAATCAATCAAAATGAAGGCAGTAAGAGAAGAAGTGAGGGATACCATAGAAGAAATGAAGTTAAGTGTAATTACATTTTCTTTCTTTCAGTAATTACTTTAAATATAAATGAATTAAACTCTTTAATCTAAAAAGATAATATGGCTGAATGGATTAATAAATGAGTTTCTACAATATTCTGCCTACAAGAGACTCATTTTAGCTCTAAGGAGTCAGGCTGAAAAAAATATATTCCATGCAAA